GAGGCACGCAAACACAGAGACAAACAAAGAGACATGGAGAGAAAAAACACAGAGAGGCAGAGACAGGGACATTAGAGAGACAGAGCGAGAGCGAGGGAGAGGGAGAGACGGAGACCAAGACACAGAGAGAGACAGAGAGAGAGAGAGAGAGAGGGAGAGAGAGAGAGAGAGAGATAGAGACAGAGAGAGACAGACACATGCGGAGAGAGAGAGAGAGAGAAAAAACATGGAAGGGTACCATCTGGAGCAGGAAGGTTGAAATCCAAGGAAAAAAAACTTGCGAAATTGTAATGAATACAAGATGGACCATCTCATTCACTGCAGTTTTCTGTGTTAATCATACAAAATAAAATGTTTCCGTGAAATTGCCAGGAAGACGAGATGGGCCACCTGATGTCCTGCAGTTCGTTTTCATTTTGATGATGCAACATCAAGGGTGCCCTTCTGCCACAACGCCGTCGAGGATTGCAAGAGGGGTAAAATCCTGGCCGCTGATGCAAATCCATTCTTGAATGTAGGCCTTGCCCCCAAAGCAGAAAAAAATAAGCATGTCATGTGTGCCCCTATCTACCCGCGCCAAGGCTTTGTGGGGTCAGAAGCTGCTGCCAGGCATCCCTGGTAGGTCGGCGGCTTCCACTTGATGTGCAGAGAGGAATGGTCCACTTCCTTGCGAGTCTCAGACTCAGACAATTGTTGGAAGCTTCCAACCTGAGCCTCGTGGCTAACCACAGCTTCCCCATAAAGTTTCCAGGCCGAAAGCTTCCAGGCCGAAAGCGGCGGCAGGCCATGCCCCAGGAAAACGTGGACCACCAAACACAACAAGCCCCAAAGAAACCGCACAATCTGAGTTCCCGCCCTCTGCGCCACGGCAGCCCAGCCACGCAGCTCAAGAGCTGTGGGGCGCCAGGCAAGTCTGGCTGGGTGCAAGCCTGGTGGGTTTTGGGCGGAAGCGCAAGTTTGTCTTGCACTTTGTGCCCACGTATCTTTGGAATAGCATGGCCAAAAGCAGGGAGGCGCCCCAGCCTCTCAACGTCTAGGGCGCTTAGAACTTAGAACCGCGTAGTTACCGTAATTCAGCCCTGGGTTGCTTCACCTCCTGCGCAGATCTGCTGCATGGTGCATCAATGCTCTACGCTCCGAATGCATGCTTCCCCCTACGTCTGCCACAGCCCGCTAAGGTGCGAACCATTGGCCAGGAGTGCCCAAATACTGGCAGGTTCTCGAGAACATTGCCCACAAAATCAAGCTTGCCCATTGCCATTTTTTGGCTTCCCTTCCCCTCGGTGAGTCAGACGTGTCACGCGCGGACACGCACCGCCCAGTCGTCAACGCCTCCACGCTGGAGCTCCAAGGCCCGCGGCCATGAGAGTTCAGGGCCGCGATGCCTCAGGCCAGGCGCGGCGCGGCGCGTGTCAACCCGCGCGACGCGAAGCGAAGGCCCTTTTCAGACACCCTGCTGTTTCTGGAGCGCGCCCAAAAGCCCCAAGTGGCCGGCAAAACGCCTGGACTTTCTCTGTGACGGAAACTGCACATCGTTTTGTAGTGAAAGGACTAAGCCACCAATGCACTGCCTTCTCAGCCTTCTGCCACTAGTCAAACCATTCTCCTTGGCGGCTCTGGCTGAGCCGCTGAAGCGATAGCGGGTGAAGTTGGCAAGGCCGGTGAAAAGCATTTCCTTGGACACGAAAAGCACATTTAGATGGTTTCGTAACCTGACTCTTGGAAATAAAATCCCCTCAACATTCTGTCTGGAACAAGTCGCAGCCAATCCTTCTTCTCTACTGCTACTACGAAAAAGGCTTGAAGAAATGCCGCCATGGGCGCATCAGGGCGCTTCAGGCCGGACCAATTCAAGACGAGGCTATCAAATTCCTCCCTCCGGCTTGGCCCTTCCAAGGCTAAGGGTAAGTTTGGTTTTTGGAGACCTCGGCGCAACCTGCTGAGTCGCATGAAGTGCCACATGCAACTTCTGCCAAGCCTCCGTCCTGCCGCCATCACACTTCCTTAGCTTAGACATTCTTGATCCTCAACAGTGTGCCGGTCAATGGAATTTGGCAACCGAATTGTTCACCGTCACCGCCATGCGCCATTGACGGAATTGTCTTCTGAACCCACGGCTGTGGTGTTGAAGGGTACTGGAATAACGTTCAATGCCTTTAACCAGGGAAATTCAAGTGGACACGAAAAGTCTTCATGATCAATGGTGACCAACATCTGAGAGCAGCCAAGATTCTGCACCAACTCCTCCCCGTCTGCGTCTTGCCTGTGGCAGCGATCCAACCCGCATCATTCATGCCCGGATGTGTTTCACTCAAAGCTTTGCCCTGGTTTTGGGGGTTGGCCTAGAACCCTGTTCAAGGTAGCAACTCTCTTGCTCTAGCTGGGCACGCGCTGCTTCAAGAGCTGCCTGCTTCAATGGAGCATTCAAAACTTTGTTTCCAAGGCGGCTGGCTGACTGCCTGGCATCTCAAGGTTGAGCTGGAACCGACTTGGCTCCGGT